TATCGGTCCAACATGTGCCATCCCTTTATCAAGCAGCAGACATTCTTACCAAACCTCTCAGTGGACAATTCTTCAACCGACTTCGATCACAGCTCAATGTCATGTCTCAGCCGATACTTGAATTGAGGGAGGATAAAAGCCTTGTTGATCCACGTGTGCATGTAGCTGTTGACCAGATTCCAAGTCACAGTCCTACTCACCAAACCTACCTGGCCACCAAAGACAGAAAACACGAGCTGCATGATGGCATGCAACAAGACAAACATCAACAACTGATTTTCCCTTCACTGTGTACTATTCCCTTAGGGGTAAATTCATCTGTTGGGTAATTGTTGCTTTTTACCTAAGCTAACTGTCATGATTCTAGAGGGTTCCCCTACTGTGTATAAGTTCTCTTTGATAGCTGAAATGAATTAATGCAAGAAATACCAAATACAACAAATTGATCTATTTCAATATCCTCTCAAAATATCTTTTTATCAAGCTTTTCTTGTCATGCCAATCATGGAAAGCTTTTATGAATGCTTAAAGAGGGTTAAATTGGAATCTCAATAGTCACCAAGCATTCATCATTCCACACCAAACACAATAGAGAGAACAAGAGATAAAACAGAAAACTATCTTATTCATTCATCGTATAACACCTTTTTATAGAGTTTACAATAGAGAAGCACTAAAACTAATTTCCTTAACTAATAGACTTCAGGCCCAAATGAATATTAGTAATCACGATATTCATATATTTATAACAAAATTGTTAATCACAAAAATTAGGAGACTACTTTTGATTAATTAAAATTTAATACAATTATTATTGATAAATCTAGAGCTACAAGAATGATTTTGAAAATTTTCCTTTATAATGTAATGAAGGTTTTGCCGAATCATTTGAGCCAAACAATACATAACAAAAATTCATGATGACCCCCTATTAATTAAAATAAAAACATATGTATGTACATAGTTCATTGTCCAATTTTAAAGGTGAAGTAGCCGTCCCATAGGAGCTTTAATTTTTTTTTTTTAATTTTTTTTTCCAAAGCTTTAATTTCATTTTTCCATGATCTTTTTATGAAAAAAGAAGGTAATTAATTTATTTTTTTTATTTGTTTAATAATTTTCTTGGGAAACCTCTTGTTACTATCAAAGAACGACCTTACGTTAAGAGAACAAATTCCTTTAGACAAAGCAAATTATCTTTTCTTCACTTATAGAAATGTTTATCATTGTCACTTTACTAAATCCATGGGATTGTTAGAAAATTAGTCCTTTTAATCATTAATTCATCAACAATTAATAATAATAATAATAATAATAATAATAATAATAATAATAATAAATAATTATACACCCTCCATAGAAACCTAACCCTAATTGTAGTCATATCTCTCTCTTTCTCTCTCTAAAAAAATTGCTAATTACCCCCTCAATTCAAGGAAATAAGCTCCCACAGACATTTGTTTTCTGGCCTGAAAACACTCCCTATCAGCTTTTTTTTCTGTCCCACTTTATTATAAAGTTAAAGCAAGAATAAAAAAGATAGATATTTTATATATTACAATTTATTTCTCTTCTTTTATTTTGTTATCACTATTATTTTTTTATTTTTTTGTTTTCTTGAAAAAAGGTAAAGGAAAGATGGAGAGAGAAAAGAACAAATACAGGGTTTTCTTTCTTTCTCTCAAACCCCACAAGTATAAAAATACTCTCCATTGTCCAATACTTGGATTTTTTAGCTTCTTCAAACTAAACAAAGCTTAGTTAGTTGTTCTGAAAGTTTTTATTTTTACACACAAACCATGAAAAACATGAGAAAGTTATGCTTTTAATGTTTTTTTTTTTGGAGAGATAAAGGAGAGAGATTTTAGTGTTAAGAGCAGTGTTTAAGTTTTTTTTTT